TCAGGGGAGCACAGTCACACAGCACCCATCAACATTGCAACCTGATCAGGGGAGCATACGCCACACCCCACACACCAACGTAGAGCGTGGCTCATCCAACTGCTTTCCACATCTCCGTAGCCAGAAGTAACGAAGCTATCTGCGAGGATGCTGGAGCAAAAATGGGGCCTCTTTCCGAGTCTCCCCGCCCGGCAAACTCTCAGTATATGGCTCGGAACGGAAAGGCCGTTGGTTTAAAGTTGCGAGTGATTGTAGAGCCGATTATGGCGCCGTGTCACGACTGACGCGGTGTTCTACCGCTTCCCTGTGCAGGTGAGATGCAAGATCAGGGTCGGGAGCTGACGCCCGAGGAAGTGCTGCAGGCCGGCGGCTGCCGCAAGTCCTCGAAATTCTACCGGAATGGCGACCAGTGGAACCCGCGCATCGTTACCATCGGCGTGCTGCCCTGCGTGGTCTGCCACTGCAGGGTGCGTGATGGGGGGACGATTGGGGAAGGGGAGGGTACGTCAAGCCAGCTGACACGTCGTAGCGGGTGGAACCGTGGGAGGCGTGCACTGGCGCACAGGACGGCGCTTAAGTGCATCGGTATCGTGGTTCGAAAAAGACGTCAGACCTGGTGTGGTGTTTTCAGCATTCTTCCGTGTTATAGTGGGCCCGTGCGTTATGCTAATATGCATAGCAATAATTGTATTACATCAAGCTGCTGCAGTGTTAGGCTGAAAACCGACGTTCATTTGCCGTTTGAAACCTTTCCACCCCCTCAAGCGTGTGTCTAAGTCCCGTCTCCGTCTGCAGGACCGCCAGATATCGTGCTCGCGCAAGCAGTGTCCGAAGCTCACGTGCGGCCTCACCAAGAAGCAGCCAGGCGAATGCTGCGACGTGTGCCGGCGATCGGCCGAGCCAACGGCGATCGGCGATCGGCCGGGCAAGGCGCCATCGGCCAACGGCGATCGGCCGGGCAAGGCGCGGCGGCGCCACGCGCCGCGCTACCGCCGGACGTAAGCGGCGTCGCGCGGCGCCCCCACCCACCCGCGCCCGCCGCACTGGGGGAAGTACAAAGCCGAAACATTGCGTGCAATGTGAGGCGGCGCCGGCCGCTGGAGGGGACCGCGGCGCGGCGGCCGAGAGAGCGGCGCCGCCCGAGACGCACCGGCCGCCGCCTGTATTCACCGGAGCGTGGCCGGGGCGCCACCTGTCTATAGCCGCGCCGGCGTCCGGGCCGGCGCGACGCGGCGCGCGCCGCCCACTGCGTACCTGTACATAGTGCCATAGCTGTAAGTGTCATAGCGCGAGCGGGCTGGCGGCGCCGGCCGGGAGCGGGCGGGGGCGCGGCGTTCTGCCCCCCGACCGCGGACCGTCGCCGCGCGCGCGGCCCAGGCGACACGCAACGCGCGACCGACGGGGGCGAAGATTGTACGCTTTTGTTGGTGCCAGTGGCCGGTGGCAGACGCAGTCCGATTATTTTTGTAAAAATGCACGGTGGACGCGGATCGGTTCAGCTTGTGCGCGCGGCTGGGGGCGAGCGGCGGTTCGAGCGTTGCGCCGGCACTGTGTGTGACAGGGACGGGTGGGTGCGCTTCAAACGGACCGGCCGCGCGAGCCGCGAGCGCGGAGCACGAGAGGAAACGGCGCGGAATTGAAGGCAGCCGATGAAGACGCTGAAGATGTGAGACGATCACGGCTGCTGCTCTCCTTCTCTGGTAAGTTAGGCTGCAGGCGGTTGTGAGTGCAAAAGGGGGCATCAGCAAGTCATTAGGATATCGGCGTGCGTCGAGCCCGCGCGGAGTCGGGGGTGACCCGGTTGTTGTGAGTGACCCTTAGGCCAAGCGACTGTGAGCAGCATCGAGTCAGATATATTTGTTCTCAGGGTCGTCTGTTATAGGCTCGTAGCGTAGCTAATCGCTGTCGTAAGCATTCGTCCAGGGGTGTCACGGCCATTGGCGTGGCGGCGCAGTAGCGAAGGCCACTCTTGTGTCGATTAACCGCGGAGGGAGGGCGCGCCGCGGGATGAGGGCTCCCGTCCCAGTCATGGCTTTAGGCTTTGTTCAGCTGTGCCGTTCGGTGGCGTGCACTGCGCTGGCCGCTCTGACCGGCGAGACCGGCCGGTCGACGCTGGCGCGTCCCGCAGCTGGTGGGCCCCCGTGTCGGCGCGTGATGCCCCTCCGCTCCCGGTGCGTGGAGGCAGGCAGAGAGGGAGAGCGAGGCGAGGCGAAAAAGGAGAATGATAACGAGAGAAACGATGGAGAGGTGAGCATGCGAACGAGAGACTGCGCGCGTGTGCGCAAGGGAGAGAGCGTGAGAGAGAGGGAGGGAGGAGGTCAGCGCAGGGGAGAGCGCGCGCGCCGCCCCAGTCGGCGCTCCCGGCCAGCCCGGCAGCCCCGGTGTACGAGATGTGATACTGGGAGCAGTGACGGCGTGGGCGTCGCCGAGCGGTCCGTGTCATGTAAAATACCGCCACACCATTACACCAGTGTGTGCGTGTTTTCGTCGTGCGACGCCCGACAGCGAGCGCAGCAGCGCGGGTTCAGCGGCGGCGAGCTGAGGCTGTGCGAGCGGTGAGCATGCTAGGCCGGCCGTCGTGGGGGACAGCAGACACAGTAAGGTCGAGGACTCGGAAAGGTGTTGCGTGGAGAGCGGGCCGATGAGTTGCTGTGGTATCTAGTCAACAACAAGTCACGGTGACACGCGTTCCTGTAGAATAGCTGTGCTTGCAACAAAATGATACTTTTGTTTTGTGGTACGTCATCTCTAGTCGGTTGTTTCCTGTCGCCGCAAGCTAGCATTCGCTCATCAGAGCCCTTGTCTTCGGAGCAGGCGTGACACCAGCATACCGATATGTCTGTATGCCTAGCCGCATGAGTTCCCTCTGGCTCCTATTGCCCGTACTAGTCTGGAGTCCCGCGCTGGAACCCCACTCCGGCTGTGCGGAGCGTCACGGAACACGCCGCTTCCGCCTCTCTCGACTGGTGCAGACGCACCAGGTGCGATTACAAGTTCTGAGGTGCAGATGACGTAAACGCAGTGGCTCAGAAGCGGACCCGGGAACAGGTGGCTGTTGTGCGGCAGGCTTGATTATTAACAAAGCGCCACTGAATATACGGGGTTTTACGCAGGATTTAGGAATGAGCACAGGGTTTTTACGGATGCTAGCGCGGAGAGCAAGCATTGGCTCAATACATTCAACGCCTTGATTTGTTCAGCCAGTGTCGCGGAACCGCAGACCATCCATGAAAACGGGATTGCTCAGACTGAGGAGGCTGGTTGCGATCAAAGCCAACATTGCGAGATGAAACACTCAAGGATATGGCAGCCTCAAACAGTGGCGGGTTAACGGCGATAGAGTTGAAGGGATTTGGCTTGCCGTGAGATTAGTTCTTAGTTAAATGCGTGGGATATTAGGCATTGCTTTCGTGATTTATTTATCATCTTGGTAATTTGCATTTTGCGCTATAAGTCCGTACAGCTCCAGCCTTAGAATGGTCCCCACGCAAGGCAAGGTGATAACTTTTCATGTGGCAGTGTGTCAGACCGTAGCACTGTGCAGAGGAGCGGAAGTGGAAATACTTCAACTGTTTGGGATCCGCGGAGGTTAGCAAAACGCACGTTGGAATCCAGGGTTCTCGACTCTCAGGAATAGGTATAATTGTAGTTTTGGTGGGCTTAATCCTTTTTTCGAGTCGCCGCTTTTACGAAGACAGGTCGCCCCGAGTCTGCTCTTTGATCTGTAACTGTGACCTGTGGCCTCGTGGCATGGCTCCATATGAGCCATGCCGTATGACACTGTCACTGGAGCTCGCATCAATATATTGCACGCCGTTGGAATGAGTCGTATTATGCAAAACCATTCAACCAGTGGGGAATATTTCAATACAAATGGCTTACCAACCACGCGTTGTTAACATGATCGGAAAGCCGTACATGACCCATTGCACATGTTTCGGTACAACAACAGGTGTAAGCTTGAGAAAACAGCTGATCCGCGTTGGTCCCACAGCTACCGGTCCCGGCGCCTCTCGCCGGCAGCCTTTCGCGCCTGGGGTGGTGCTCACGGACGAGGTCCTGCCGGTGCTGCAAGGCGGCGGCGGCGGCGGCCGGTGACCTCCGCAACCTTGACCTAGATGCTGGCCTGCGCCAGTGCCTCCCGGAGGGCACGCAGCACGAGGTCCACCCTCTCCTCGGTGGCGTTGACGCCCATCAGCCCCACTCGCCACACCTTGCCGGCCGTGGGGCCCAGGCCGCCCGCTATCTCCACCTTGTACCTGCGGCAACGTCACAGCGTCAAAGCTCCGCGAGAGCCCGGTTTGTAACCAAGTGCAAATATCCATGGATTCAAGAGCACCCCAAGAGCACTCGCACGTGGAGTATCGCGCGGTAAACGTGATATTTCACCTGATACAAGGGGAATCACGTAACACCAGTCAAGCCGCATTATGACGTTTAGGCTTTCTCCCGGCACCAAGTGCACCACGTGACTTCCAGTTCCCTCCGCCCCGGTTAGACCACCACAGAGTGCTATCTCACGTGTTCATGCAGTAGCCGATGACGGCCTTCCAGTTGACGCCGTCGGGCACGCTGACGGTGGTGACGGTCGGCAGCCGGAAGCTCTCCGTCTCGACGAACGGGCGCAGGCCGATCTCGGCCAGACCGGCGAAGAGGCGGCGCGCACAGCGGCTGTGCCGCTCCCAGAGCGACTCGAGGCCGGCCGCGCACGACACGGCCAGCGCCTCGCGCAGCGCGTACACCCCCGAGATGGGGCCCGTGTGGTGGTACCTGCCGGCGACGGCGGGTCAGGCTAGTGACATCTGGCGGCGGAGGTTCGCACTGTTGGTTCGCCGTTCAGGTCGCATGCGAGAGGTGGCAGCACCGTGGCTTGGGTGCTGTAAGCGAGGTACCAGTGCTCCATTTATAGCGGACATCTGTGCCAAGGATTTAGTATTACAATTATTACAAAGCTAAGCTGAACTGCACCTTTTCCTTCACCAAACATTGAGAAAATTCACAAATATCCCAAAGCAGTCAGACATGAATAATCAGAGCGATATCATGACCGCAAACTTGAAACTTTTGAAAAAGTCGTCTAAAAAGTTGAAAAATATGGTAACAACAACATTTGCTCACTTGCGTGGTCCCTCGTCACAGCCCCAGTAGTTAGCCAGCCAGGTCAGGTCAAAGTAAAACGACCGGATCGGAGTCTTCCGGTTGACCACCTTCTGCCTGAAAACGCAGAACATTGGCTTTAAATTTAGATAACACGGCGTTTGTGATCGCTGCATCCATCCACACTGTTCTGTTATCGTGTTTCAAATCGAAATATAAGGCATAATGAGCAATCAAACAACAGAACATAGAAGAGAGTAAATTATTGAACTTGAAAGAGTAATAGCACGAAATAGTTAGTGAACGCATGAACGCATGAATAAATGAGACATAGTTCCCGTGTCAGTTTTGATGATATATCCCGCCTCACACAGACATCCCCACCTCGATCCCCGCCGCTAACTACTGCGAGACCACTAGATCCCAGCCGCTAACCACTAGATCCCGCCGCTAACAGATAGATCCCCGCCGCTAACTACTAGATCACGCCTCTAACCACTAGATCCCGCCGCTAACCACTAGATCCCCGCCGCTAACCACTAGATCCCGCCGCTAACCACTGATCCCGCCGACCACTAGATCCCCGACGCTACAGATAGATCCTTGCCGCTAACCACTAGATCCCCGCCGCTAACCACACCGCCCCTTACCAGGCCGCATCGCTGAGCGAGATGGGGGCGGTGCCGGGCGGCGCGCCCAGCACCTTCTGCGAACCCGTGTACACCACGTCGACGCCCCACTCGTCGGCCAGGAACGGCGTGCCGCCCAGCGAGGCCACCGTGTCCACGGCGAAGAGGCAGCCGTGCCTGGGTGGGAGACGGAGCCGGTCACGATCCACACCCCGCATTGCAGTGACAGGAGTGACGCGTCACTGGCGCTGGCGCACGGCCACCAGAGTGTGACGCGTCACACGCGGGGATCCGCGGCCGCCAGGGCCCGCGCCCCACAGGTGGCACCACATGTCAGCCAGCATACGTCACTTCAAGGTATACTTCAGACAGCGTGAGATGTTTGCCGGTGGTGCGGGCCCGTCAGGGTTTGCACAATTTTTTCAAACGGCGGGAACCGTATGAAACGAACGCAAGCAAAAAGCTAAAGAGCGGTATTTTGTAACATGTCGGTAGAAGATATTACGTACAAGTTTGGCACATACATCGTATAGATTCCTTAAGTCCCATATGAGGCTCATAGTTCATGAACGCACTTGTGCAGCATCGGCTGTGATAGAAGACATGAGCAAGTGAGCCTTGACTCATGTCTGCGAGACGGGGCACGAGCCCACACGCATCTACAGCCCCCATGCACGTACAAAGATGGGACGGAGACAAAGCACCTGGCAGTCCTTACTCTTTGCAGGCGTCACCAATGCCCTCCAGGTTCTGCACGACTCCGGTAGAGGACTCCCCGTGCGTGACGAAGAGGAGACACGGCTTGTAGACGTCGAGCGCTGCACGAATCGACTGCAGGAAGAAAGCAGATCCGGCCGGCTCCTTCAGCTCGTGGACCACGGCGCCTGTCAGCGGTTAGTGGGACTGAAGGCGCTGTTGCTGTGCCATGCTATGCTGCCAGTATGTTGTACTGTCATGCCATACTGTGGTATGTTACACCCTGCTATTTAGGCGACCGACGCAATGATGCTCTTACACTTCAGGTAAAGCGCAGGGGTTGGTGGAGTCATTTTAAAAATAAAAAGAGAAGCCGGCGGATGGGTTGTGACGCTCTTGCTTCCAGTATTTTCATTGGAAAGACCCGCGCTTGGCTCTTCCTGAACAGAATCCATTCCGAGCGTTAAATAAAGGTACAGTGTGTACGTCGGATTATGACTATGCGAGTACGTAGCTTCAGCCATTTATCTTCTATTTGATTCATTAATTACTACAGAGCTGCTATGTGTAATTCAGACCAGCCTCAGACAAATCAAATTAATTAAATTGGTAGGCGATTTCACCTTATTTCAGCGAAAATTGGATGGACAGTTTCCAGCTCCACATTGGATCAAACACCAGTCCGCTACTACAAGCCGCTGCTCCTGTCCCTCCCCCTTCCCCCTTCAACACTGCTCCCTCCCACCCCCTCCAGCCTCAGCAGCCACTGACCGTGCCTGCGCGCCATGTCGGCCGATCGCTCGCCCCAGATGCCGTTGTTGGCGATCAGGATGGTGTCGCCTGGCTCCAGCATGTTGCACATCACGGCCTCCATGCCACCGTGGCCGGTGCTGGACAGCGCCAGCGTCACCCGGTTCTCCGTCTGGAACATGTACCGGATGCCGTCCTTGCACTCGTCCATGATCTGAAACAGGGAAGCAGACGTGAGGCGAGCGCCGTTCAGCAGCGTGACTGCATAGCTGCAGTCGCTGGGGTCAGTACACTCGCCCATGATCTGAAACAGAGAGGGCAACATGAGATGAGCGCCGGCAGGCAGCGTGACTGCATAGCTGCAGTCGCTGGAGCCAGTAGACAGCCGTGACTGCATAGCTGCATTCGCTGGGGCCAGTACACAGCCGTGACTGCATAGCTGCAGTCGCTGGAGCCAGTACACAGCCGTGACTGCATAGCTGCATTCGCTGGGGCCAGTACACAGTTGTGACTGCATAGCTGCAGTCGCTGGAGCCAGAACACAGTCGTGATTGCATAGCCGCAGTCGCTAGACCCAGTGTACATCCACGACATGCCACACATGCGAGTCATAGCTATCATCTTGAATGCATCTATTTCTAGCTTACGGGCGCTTCCTCCTTTACTTGTAGCAAACATCGATACGTTAGAGCACTGTTGATTTTAAACCACATTACTTGCACGGCGCGCGTGAGGCGTGGACGTTGCGTTATTTCGACATCATGCCATTTGCTTCCATCGTACAGTGAAGCCAACAAACCAGCCGTAATTTTTCTACGCACTAATATCACACGGAATTCGCGCCTTCTCTTGCTCTCATGTGTTTTGTGTGCTCAATATGCGCGTCAAGTAAATACGGCAGAGACATTTATCGAGGCCATGTATGTATAAAGACTTAAGTGACTAAATGCTGCCGATGTGTAACCAAGCGTTCAAACATATCTCTCACTTTTCTCTGAGCAAGATAATGTACGCCTCCTGCCTTAAGTATGAGGACGTAGCTTTTTCTTTTAGGGATGTTGTGATATTGACAAGCATAAAGCTTGTTAGTTGCTACGCATACACTGGACAGCCGACACTGACTCTGCCGTCCAATGTGTAGGGGTGTTGAAAAATTGCATCACCTGCTAATGAGCTATTGCTGAGGAACTTGACGATGTTGTACGGCTCAATAAAACGGCCAACAGAAGCATGAGTAAATCTTCCCCGTGGGGAAACAAAGGGCCTCGAGACATTCGTAGGCTAGGAGGACTCCGGAAGCTATCGGAGGCCCCCGGAAGCTCTTGGAGGCCCCGGAAGCTCTCGGAAGCAATGAAAGCTCTCAGAAACCCCTGAAAGCTCTCGGAGGCCCCGGAGGCTCTCGGAAGCCCCGGAAGCTCTCGGGGACCCCTGGAAGCTCTCAGTGACCCCTGGAGGCTCTAGGAGGCCCTCGGAGGCCCTCCGAGCACCTGCCGCTGGTTTTGAGACTCCGGGCGAGCGTGCCTGACACGAGACCGTGACGGGATGGCGGCCTCCGGTGTCTGGCCCTCCACTCAGCGTGCCATGCCGCAATGCACGCCCAAAGACAACCGAGGCCCAGATAACGTTCGGAAAAATATGTACGCTGAAATCATTATGTACTTATCTGAATGAGCAAGCATACCTGAGGCTTTGTAAGGCGCACATTTTGCTTCCAGAATAAAAGATCGAGCAAAAACGTACATCGAACGTCGTTTTCCAACAGTACAAGGCCCACTAATTTTCGGCGGCGTGTGTTGCCGAACCAAAGGCAGACGATCAACGGCAATGTAACGAAACAGAAAGCAAAATATTTTACCATCGATTAACTTCGAACGCTTCGAAATTGCAGAACAGATGGCTGCAGGTGACCGGAAACAAAGGTCGATGAGAAAAGGTTTAAAGACATCAAGGTACACATGCATATGGCTGATTTAACAACAGGCTTCAAAGAGCATTTGAATGAGCTAAGGATTTCGTACTGAATATAAAACAAAAATAGACGACCCTCTGGGAATTATGCACTGACCTAGTTTATACAGGCGCCATGGTGTAGCTCATTTCATTTGAGGGCAGAACGCACGGACCCTCAAGCCAAGTTCGGCATTGTGGCGAAGGAAAAGGACTCGTGTGGTCGGCTGAAACCTTATAGGCAGGGAGGCAGCTTAAGATATGACGAGAGCTGCCTAGACAGGGTTTGTGGGTATCTTTGGATTGACAATAAGTCTGGCGATATCCCTGGGGTGCACACGCGTCGATGTTCGTGAGATGCGTGTCGTAGTGCCTGCTACAGCCACTGCGTAGGCAGCTGCGTCAGCCTATAGGGCTATGTCAGGCTGAAATATCACTCAGATGTTTGGACGATAGCTATGCAGTGGTAGACGCCTGGAACACAAAGGTAGCTTTGACCCATCCAGGCAGACACTGCGCCAGTGGATTTGTTTGTATGCTCATTTGTTGCTGTGTGAATCATGATCTACCTCACAGTTGTGTGACCTACCTCACAGTCACGTGACCTGTCTCACAAGACTTGCTCCTAACCCCGCTCAAACGAAATCCATTGTAACTTCGGCAAGGTCCATGGGGTTGATGCCAACCAAGATTTTGAACAGTGCAGCACAATTTTGTATCGTACCCGATTCCTACCCAGAAAACGTGCCTTGAATCTCCGCCTTAGCTGCTGACTTGACTCGACAATGATCCGGCCGATTCTGCAATGGTATCCACCGGAAGTCAAACTCAAGTCCGATTGCAGGAAACGCTTCCTTGCATCAAGCGGTGAAAGTTGCCAGGATGAGACCTCAGTAACCTCGCAGGACAGCTAATTTGATGCTGATGCAGCGTGGTCGTTGTTCAGTTTGCTGGTGGTGGTGAGGTCGTGTATGCTGGTGTCTGGTGATGCTGGTGCATTGCCGGCGGCACACACCTATAAAAACAGTCAAAGTAACACCATCGGTTGTTAGTCATACCGGTTTAAGTCGATTCGCCAGTTAAGAACACGGTTAATATATTTCCAATTCGATTTTTAACCTGAATCGAGCCATTCCTTTGGAAAAATATGGGCAAGTGCAGAGCCGGCTCCGAATTCATCCGGAACCAGGCACGATTCTCACTGAAGTCGGCGGGAGTTACCGAGGTCGTACCGCGGTGACCAAAGTTCAAAAGACAAAGTGCCCCAGGCCCAGACCTTCCTTGAGTCCGAGGTCCACTGACTACAGCTGTGATTACGCACATGTTAGGGGCAGCCGCAGAGCAGCAATTTCGCAACACTTGTGTGATATTTCGCGTGTTGGTTGCAGCGAAGAGCTGGCGAACAAAACGATCAAAGGCGACATCCAGCTTTCGGAGGATTATTGTCAACGAAATGATATGGTGTAGGACCAAAAATTACACCTGCATGTGCTACACGTTGGCCGTGTTTTTCAAAGTATGTGTGCGCGCTTACCTATGTTCTCATGCCTCTGGGGTAACCTTACCTTGCAAAACTCCGGGTGCAGATGACCGAGCAGCGGAAGCTTCTGGGCCTCCAGCACCCGAGGGTGGGCGTTGGAGGGTCCCGGCCCCATCAGGGTCTTCTCCGGGACCACCAGAGGGCCCTCCAGACTGGCGGGGGCGGAGACTCGCATCTTGGCAGGCACGGTTGGCGGTTTCTGTGGGCAGAGGCGGGCGGTCAGTCGGAGGCCACGTGCCGCGATCACTCGGCAGGGACGGCGCTTAAAATCAGTCCGCTCGTGAAGACACGTTTGCGTGGTGCTCTCCAGTCTATACGATGTCTGACCAATGCTTATTGCAACAACAATGCGACCGCGGCTCGGTTCGAGCGAATGGGTCATCCGTCCCTCTCATCCTTTGTCTCGCTTTACCCTGCATCCCAGCGGCACCCCGCCTGTCCGGGGCAGGCTGCGTGCGTCAGCCACGAGTGGGCCGAGAGCCCCGTGGGGGGGAGACCTCGGTCGGGTACCCAGCGCGCATGCGCGGGTTAAAGTTCGGCGGTTGCCCCCCCCCCCCCCCCCTCACTCCCAGGGGCATGCCGGTCTGCCTCACCGTTAGCCATATTCATCATCCCATAGCCCTGAAATGATCATTTCTGGTCGAAAGGGCTCTAATCCTAAAAACCTAAAACCTAACCGAGCGAATGGGCACTCACAACTACTAAATGCAGAGTATCCGGCAGTTCTTCCTCAATAGCCACTTGCATTCGCCAGAAGCGGTAAAAAGCGTAGCAAATAACAGCTGAGCAACTGAAACGCGGTTCCTGCTGACTGAAAAGGCTTTATAAATAATCGTCACTTCATGACATCTGTTTCGTTTATCACGAATGCAAGAAGGTTTCTGAGTGTGTCGACAAATTCATCGCATACAGCTCAGCATTTGTCATGAATAGCTGAACCGTGTAAGGATGCTAGCGGAAGCAGGAAATGACACTATTTTTATCTGAACGAAAAAATATATTACTTTCCCAAAAAGAATGCTCACAACTGCGCCGGATAGAAAACCCCATTCAATAATCCGTTTAGCTTTACAAGAACCATTACGATTTCGTCCCACGCCAAATGTGGCTAGGAACGACCGCTCACAGCGTAATAACGTGCCCTCGTCATGCGCGAGCATTTCAAAGGATATCATGCACTTACTCCACGCTATAACCCCGAGAGCATGCGACGTATCCACGAACTTGGGGGCATGATTTTATTCGAGAGAACCCTCGATGTCATAAGAATATTTCTTGCTTTGGAAAACAGTTCCATTAACGCGTGGCGGGATCGGAGCGGAGTTCGACAACGGAACAGCAGCTGGGGAAGGAATCGGTCGGAATCGGCCACCACGAAACTTTCGCGATAAAATAGCATGCTGAAATTTGAGCCTATTTGTCAGGGTATCATTTTACTATTATTTGGGGAATGGAGGCTCACATGCGTGGATGGTAATAAATTAATAAAACATGAGGTCAAAATCATCATGGAGCACGAGAGGAAGCTGATGAAAATCTTCCTGAGCTTCAACACCGCACGGGTTGACACAGACTGACACTTACGGGACGTTTGGTTCCATTTCCTGTACCCGCTCACAAGTCTTAGAGGAAATCATTAAGGAAAAAGAAATAATCGGAGAAGGAAAGAGCTAGAGACTTAGAGAGGGAGAGAGCGTGTGCGAGAGCGAGAGAGGGGGAGAGCTGAACGTCTCACCACGGTCTCCATCTCCCTGGCGTCGCTGGGTGCATCGCCACCACTCTGTGCGAGCACCATCGCACAGCTGTGTATGCACACGCTCCGCTGCCAAAGCCGGAATATAGCGATCGATAAAGGTTCCCGTAGAGGCGCTCGACAGCTGCCCACTGACGTCTGGTTTGAATGGCTCGAAAGGGCACACCACACATGTTGGGTCTGGGTTTGAGGCGATCGAGGAGATTTCTGTAATCTCTGCAGATCAGGAGGGGTCATTATCATAACGACGCATGATACTGACATGATGCTGAGATGATGCACCTCCAATGAGCTAAGACAGTTTCCCACGCTCGCATGAAATTAGACAATTTTGGGCTTCTAAAGATCGGGGGTGAGACCAGCAGCGCAGTGTCTCTGACCGGCAAGCCATGGTGCCGCGGTTACCGATACGATGGAAACATACTGTATAGAGACATCCAGCCAACAGCCAGACCCCGCATCAGAGACCAGAGTGGTGGTGCGGCTACCGACACGAGGGAAACAGACTGGGCACAGACGTCCATCCGACAGCCAGACCTCGCGCCAGAGACCAGAGTGGTGGTGCAGCTACCGACACGAGGGAAACAGACTGGGCACAGACGTCCAGCCGACAGCCAGATCCCGCGTCGTGGAGCAGAGTGGCCCGCATGGACGGCGCTCCGTCAGCGCGCGCAGGCCGCGCGGCAGCCGTCGCCCTGGCATGCCTTCCATGCGCACCTCCTTGCGATAACATCAGGTAAAACCAGGCCCGGGTCGGCCGGGCTACCTTGTAGTGCTATCCTCCCATCAGCACCACCTTGTTTCACTGAGGGTCCTGCATATATGCATCGCTAATTGCGTTCGATGGAGTAAACCCTCTCTACCCCAAGAGCCACGATGCCGTGGCTTTCAGGTCTCCGTGAATGGAATGCTCTGTACACGACGCGCCCGCTCCCCGGAGGCGTCGGTCATACCGACCCATCAACCGTTGCCAAATACCGTCTCACCCCTGCTGGCCCAACCGGTTATACTTTTTCGAAGTTCGAAATCTAACTTAAGGAGGAGACATAAAAGCCTGTGAAATGTTTGAAGCATTTCCTAAAGCCTCTGCCTGAAGTTCATCGCGGAGATATCCATCACCAAAATACATGCGGGTGAAATAAACCCGGCCAGTGAAGGTCTCTGCGGGGAACTCAGTGACCAGCCCGTGCCAAATGCATAAACACAACTGGTGGACTTTGGAGCGATAACGATCGCTCTGCCATCGCATCCGTGTCGTGCGCTCGAGGCGTATGGTTTTGCACACGTTTGGCACACATTGCGAGATTTTTGCGAAATATAACTGAATATTGAACAACTATCCCGCTTTGTTCACTGATGTTCCTGAGGCGATCAGTGAAGTTGATGCGCCTTTAAACCACACCACACACCCAAACGTGTCACGACAGCGAAGACTCGGCCATCCAACTCTCTCGGCAACGAAGACCACAAGCCAGACTCGACATAAATAGTGAGTTTGGTTACACGTTGGGCTGTTACTAAGCTGACCAAGACGACTGACGATATTCATGCTGTTTAACGGCACAGTCGTGACTCCTCAGCCTGAACGACCCGCTATCGCCGAGTGCTGCAGCTCGACCACCACCATTCCCCAACTGGTCACCGCTCGGCTCCGTCTCCGTCCCCGTCCCCTGGGTCAACCTCCAGCCTCGTCCGTCAGAGCCGAGCGAGCCCCGCCCCAGCCAGCCAGGCGCGGCCCGTGCACCCGTCCCCGGCCTCACCGCACAGCCTACGGACGACAGAGGACTGACGCGGCTGTTCCAGGCGGCCGACCCGCCGCGTGATAACAAGTGAAGCGCCGTCCGCCGCATGGAGCAGCCTGGAATACAGAGCGGCTCGCCAGGCTGACGCCTCAGCAGGCGCCTGGCGACAGGCGGCCGGCGGCCGGCGAAGGTCACGCAGGGGCGCGCTCGCGGGGCCCCAGCCCACTGGGCGGCCGGCTGGTCACCACGCTCCGCCGGGGCTGTGGCTGCAGACGGAGCGGGCGGGCGGCGACGACGGCGCCCGTCACACCTCAGCCGAGCGTTTGAAGGAGGGCTCGCGGATGGCCGGGTGAGGATGGACGACGGACGGTGAGGAAGAGGTCAATTGCAAACTTGCCGCTGTTAATATGGCTCAAGATCGTGAGCTTTCGAAGATTATTAAGACCATAATCGTAATCTTATGCTGGTGGCGTGCAACAGGGTTATGAACATCTTTTTCTACTAACACATATGTTTGTCATCGAGATCACTGCACACTTGTTTGCGTGACCGAGCTGGAACAAACTGTGGATACCCAATGCCAAACACCTTCTCTGATCTAAGTCCTTCACCCCACACCCATTCCATCAAGGAATAATGTTCCGTCGCAAACAAGCTTGCTACCCTCTGAATAAATCATCCGGAGAGAAAACAACAGCTTTCATAAATGGTACAGGGTTAAATAATTTATTCGTGTTATGAAGCAAACATGCGGCGAAAGAACTGAGAATGTCAAGTGCCATCTCTCGCTGTCTGTATCGTAACGTAGATGTTGATCGTGCTGCCTACACCGGTCCAAATAAGCATCAACATAAGACCGATGGCAACGAAAGTTTCGCTGCACTTGATTGCACTCTATGGAAATGTACCCACCTGAGGGTTGTATTTGTGATAGGTATTTAGAAAGCGTACTCTAGCTTTAGCTCAAGCTTTAATCGTTCTACAAAAAGGACATCCTGTTTTGACAGGTGCATCACTCTCAAGGCTGACATTTTATTGGCAAAAATGCTTGCATCAGATGTACCTCTTAAACCGACGAGTGGCACGCATCCCTGATAAGGTTCAGTAACGATTAACGCCCCGCGACGCAACGAGAAGTCTCTGGCCTGGTCGCCGTGGTCAAGGACGCCCCAGTCTCGTCAGACATGTGCGCACTTCGGCCTCACAAACGGCCGCCCAGCTGCATCACCCAAGTGCGGGCTTTGGTGTCCTCACATCAGTGGGTATCTCCGTCACCGCGGACCAGCTGGGGCGCCAGTCCTTCAGAACAGCGGGCACCCCGGCCACTCATACCAGCGGGAACTCCAACGTCCCCGGACCAGGGGGTTCCCTGCCTCCTCAGACCACTGCGTGCTTCAGTCTCCCCAGACCAGCGCGGCGAGTGCCCCAGTAACTCTCCAGACCGGAGATCGTCCAATCTCCCCAGACCAGCGCGTGTCTCCATCTGATCACACGAGTGCACAGCCCGGCTCCCCGGTGCGTCGTCGCCAGTGTGTCGCGCTCCAGTCTCATGACATCAGCGACCACCCCTGTCACCCTCTGCCCGTGACCTCTGCCAGATATGTGACAGACCCAGCCCACGCAGTCTCCACCGCATGACAGTATACGGTCCAAAACAGGCTTCGCCGGGACTGATAGCTTATCATCTGCGGGTCCTCACAGCCCAATGACATTCAACAGGGCCACAGGTCAGGGGCGAGCGCAGGCCCTTTATACGGGGAGTCTTAACATTTCCACGATCATTTCATAACCAAGCACAGGGAGAATCAGGAGATACAACATAGACAAGCGCACACCGCCCACACCACAGATGACACCAGCTGGCCTCATGAGACCTCCGCCGGGCTGCCCCCACCAGAACGACGCGACCTGACGTCACGCACGTGAGCCAGCACTCACCAGCAGCAGCAGCAGCTCCGGAGGCGGCTCGGTCCTCCGTCAGTGGTGTGGGCAGTGAGTCTTGGCGGCGGCGGCCGGGGTGCCACGTTCCTGACACACCCTCCGTCGGCACCAATCAGCGCCCGTAGCCGGTCCCAGCTGACCAATCAGGAAGCCGCACGGCGAGGCATCGCGACGCGTCCCGCTGACCACTGCGCGGGCCGCGAGGTGGCGTCATGGTCAAAGGAAGGCAGTGCCGCCGTCTTGTGGCACAGCCGCCAGGACAGGAAGGCGCGGGGACGACTGAGCAGCGGCCGTCTTTACCGTGGAATAGCGACAGCTGTTCTGTGTGAAGTTACGCTACAAGAGTGGTTAATATCCCTCCGCTCTGCTACGATTAACTGTGGCGCTCGCGGGCATAAACATTATTGTACGTTATTGTCAAGAACGTTCAAGTGCGCACCACTGCAATAAAGTTAATCGAGCTACGGGTCTTTCATATTAATTTTCTACATGGGCTACGGTTTCTCGTAGATCACAATAGTGTAGCGGTTGCTTTATCCTAAGTCCGTGATTTGATCATGCCGGAGCCTTGTATGACGATTTCGGATATTACCCTTGCAACTAATAATTGTGTTACTCGTCTAGATTAAAGACATGTTCGCTAGAGGTTGACAAGTGAATATGAACGCTTAACGTATCGACTGCCGAGTGTGCTATCACTGACACCCGGACTTTGCACACGCCCCAGTCGGGTGCTTCGATCTCACATCAGTCATGACTACTTGTCTCCGGCGATTGGCCCGCTCTGGTGGAAGACCGCTGGAAGATGATGGTGAATGTCCTGTAGGCCGATTCCACATGTATCCCATGCATCGAGGAAGAGTTAATTTAATAGGCGGCCTGGGGGAGAAAGGAAGGCCCCGGTGTGCGTTGGTCTTTTCATTCCATTCCCCCCGCTGTCTTGGAAAAGAGAGGCCCCTGGCTTGAACTTGGCTCCTGTACGTTTTATCACCAACACCAGATATTGTTACTGTCATATAACTCGGTACTCCTAACATGAAGATGACAACCAGCCGATGCCCGACTGTCGTCCGGCGTCAAAATCAAGTGCGTGCTTTGAGCGAGGCCCCACATCACGGGAGCAAGCTCCGTTGCCTGGGAATTCCCTCTAAATCACATGCAATCACGGTTTTTAGAAACTGACCATCGGCCCCACTTCGCCACATAGCTAACAAGCAGCCAAATTAGTTGATGCGGGCCCGATATCGATTCCATACCTGATTCCATACGAGATTCGCGCTGTGACGAGATGTCGTCGCTGACGACGTTTCGCGCATGACGAGTGCGCTGCCCGCGTTCCCTATTCCTGACCTTTATGCGAACCCTGGCACAGCGGAGCACGGGAACCGCGACGAATCGGAGGCAGGGTTTGTTTGGAATTGCGACAGCGTGTCAGCTTCATGTTAAGGGCACTTGACTTCGGAGATGGAAACTCTTGTTATAATGTGCCCGTGCTTGGAACAATTCGCAGGAAGAGCGTGAGCATGACGCTGTGCCAAACATCAAATCTGTGTAAACATGCGTAATACGCCCATCTGCTCACTGAGAATTGTGTATGTACTCACTTCATTGTTTCCATTTGTCTTTTGTGTCGCACTTTTGTCTCAAAACCTTTGCCCTGGACTGATGACATGTTTCCGACGCTAGCGTTGCCCCCAACAGTAGCACAACACTTGAAAATTAGTGCCTGTTAGTTAATACCGTTATAGTTCAGTTCGAAACTGCTGCAATTAAGCTGCAATATCAACCTGCAGCTGAGTGGCAATCCACCACGCATATATGTGAATGCGCTTGGGGATTTCTTCATAGACAAAGCATGTTCGTGCACCGAGCCACGGGAGCGGCAGACGGAGCCGCTCGGAGCCGCTGACACCACAACGGCGATGCCGGCGTTCCACCTGCGCAGATTCGCCCTCTCACCCACTGCGCCCCGCTGTGCGTGACGTCGATGAACCCGACCCTCGCCTCTGCCGGCGCTGACCCACCCCATGTCCCCTCTTGGTCGCAGGAGTGAGGGAAGTTGTCATTAGTTGGGGGGGGGGGGGCATTTGAGGCGTTTCTTTTACTTACCTCCACAAGCCTAGTGCTAAATTATCTCAATCGTTGGGAAGTGGACTCGTGTCCTCAAATCCCCCCCCCCCCCCTAATAAGGCAGCAGTTCTCTCGCATATGCCAGGTCACATCGCCCTTGCCTCGGCGTCCTGGCTGTTACGCTGGTGGCGGGCGGCCGGGGGCGGTTGCTCGTTGCTGTGTGCGGCTCGAGAAGGGTGGCTGCGTTCCACAGGCGGGTTGGCGCGTAGGGAAGACACTCCAGCCCAATGGCCGTCCTGGCTGTAGGCCCGGGTCCCAACTCGCCTGAGTCAGCTCCTGGAAGTGTTCACCTTCGCGTGCTAGGCGCATCGGTGAGTGTGCGTTGTACGATATCATCTCTATTTCGTGCGTTGTGCTTTCCTGTGGCAGGACTCATTGTAGTTGCTCTGGTGGGTTTGATGCGACCGATGCACTCGAAGGGTGTACAGTGCTGTGCACCCGTGTTAAATGGGGGCGAAAATCCCCCTAATGTCGTGCATCCCTCCCCACCCAGTGGAGTGGAAACCCTCTCCTCTGTTAAATAAACCTCAGTGAAGTGAAGCCGGATTCCGCCATTGTGTAGAGCGTCATATAAGGCTTATTATGCATGGGCAAGAAATCTTGCTTTAAGCCTCGTCATTTTCGCCTCCTTGCATCGCCTCAGGAGCCGATGGTATATTTTTTTCAATTCGCATATATTCACTGTTATTTGACATGGCTGTTCTCATGATTATCGACCTCAATAAGCGGCATAATATAAACTCAGTTCTTTCAGCACTAAAGACCGTGTACATAAATTAGCATTCACATTCAGGACCTGGAACAATGATCTCACGTACTGAATATTGTCATTTTCAGGCCATCCTGCGCAACACAGCATGCTACGGTGTCTCCCGCAACGAGATGGAGTAGGTGCCAGGAAAATGGTTTCGGCGGAAGAGGCTGTGACGACGGAAGGAAACAGCGCGCTAACAGCGGCAGCAACGGCAACACACTATGTCCGTTCAATGCTCTAGTGATTGTCGCATCGGGCTTGACAACAGAAAAAGTACATTTTGT